ATAAGATTGTACATATAGATATGATAGATTAGATAGGATAGAATAAATAGATAGATAGATAGATAGATAGATAGATAGATAGATAGATAGATAGATAGATAGATAGATAGATAGATAGATAAGATAGATAGATAGATAGATGAGATATACTATTAAATCCACAATGGGGGGAAATTTGGGTTCCAGTATCTTGCTCAAGGATACTTCGATCACCGTACACGTGGCAGGAGGAGCCGGCAATCGAACCAACAACCTTCCGATTGGGGGAACCTGCTCTGCCTCTGAGCCACAGCTGGTGATCTTACCTCCAATAGTGATAATCCAAGCAGACAGACAGACTCCCAGAGGAACCACACTCTTCAGAGATGCCATGTTAGCACAACCCAAAATCCTGTGAAAGGTATGTGACCCAGCAGAAATGGCTGTAGACCAGCTGCTCAGACTGACTGTTGTTTCTTGCTCAACTGTACGGAGAGAGTGGCTGCAGATGAAAGAACTGGGGGCACCGCTTAAGGTTCTGCTTCGTTCTGCCTGCTGATCCCTCCCACATGCCTGCCTGGTGGGAGATTCTGTAACGATTTGCTGAGTTTGAACTCCTCAGATTACGTGAATGTCTGGGCTGAGACACGACACCCAATTTACGTACAGCTTGGTAACTGTCCTTCTGTGCATAAACTAAATGGATTAAAGAGAAACATGATTAATGAGTTAGCAATATTTACCCACATCCTGCCAGGAACCAAACAGTTGGTTCTTTCTTTGGAAAGTGCTGCTCATGTATTCAGCCGTGTTTCTGTATGCAACCATCTTGATGCCCTGTTAACTGCAGATACGGTTGGAGTTAAAGTTAGGGTTAGGGACTGCTGATAGACTTGGTGGTCCAAGTGGTCCAGTTGAAGTTCTGTACTGGCTTTTAACTCATCAGAAAACTTTCTAATGTCTTTTAAAACTCACACAGCAACTGCAAATACCAGGCAGCCAATTTCCAATAACTGATGTATGTGATAATATATATAACTGTATTTCTCATTTGTTTAAATAAAATGTTTAATTGTGTACAATGTAAAGAGAAACTAAGCAATAAGCTGTTCTCATGAAGAACAATTTGCCAGTATCTTCAGTCAACTTGTCAACTTTGTTGTTTTTTGGTGGGTTGTCCTTGCCTTAACTACCAAAACCAAAGCAAAATCTCTTAACATTAGTTAAAGTTCTTTGTCTTTGTTTCACTCTAGAACACTCAAACTGAGTTTGTGGTAAACAGTAACTTTACTTTAATGAACTCAGTTTGACACTTTTGCAAGAGAGACATGAGTACAGCAGAGAGAAAGAAAAATACACAGAGCAGCAGAGACAAGGGTACACAACCAAAGAGCTAATAGAACAATGAGAAGAAAACACAGTAACCCAAAAAAAAAAAGCCTATAAAGTTTGTATCAGTGTCAGAAATAAGTACCTAAAATATCAGGAAAACTAATC